CTATCAAGCCCTCCAGTAGTTGTACAAGAAAGAGGGTAATGACAAAATAAGGAACATTAAGGCAGCCTTTGAGACACAAAGCAGTAGGTATTATTAGAAGATAAGTTATTGTCTAAAATGAGTGCAGAATAAAAAATTCAGCTACTGAAAAGTAATATACAAAGGTAAAGAAACAAATGTTAACAAGCAGAAGAGTCTTTTTCTTGCAGTTTAAGTCCTTTTCTTAGGGATTTTTGCTTTTTAGCCAGTTTCTGCTCAATTTGATAACTTTTAAAAATATCCTTTGCATGAGAAAAGCTTCTAACTCTAACATACATTTTAACAATATTATGTAAACAAAGACATGCACACTCTTGGTCAACCTCTGCACCTTCATGATCTAAAATTATTGAATCCCAGACAGACACAACAGTTGAGTCACTCAGCACATCATTTATAATTTCTTTAATTGGAATTGTTTTGGCTTTCTTCTGGACCTCCACACGGAATTTCATTTCAATTTTCTCGGCAATCCTAAGCAGCTTTTCTGAGGGGTTCCAAAGGCCCCCTCTATCAAGCTCGGATAAATAAGAGTTTTCTTCAATGGGAACACGCAAAGTTTCAGTGAATAAGCTCTCAATTTGCTCTTTCCAAAGTGAAGTGCTATGACCATAAGCTGACTTTTTATAAAGTTTTGATATTACAGCACCCATCACATATGCCAAAGGCCCTCTTTCTTCCTCTTTTATGAAACATATTGGTTTCTTCTTGCCTTTATCTTTCTTTGCACTATCCTTCTCTTTCGCCAAAGCGATCAGTTCAGGCCCTAATTTTACAAGAAAAAGACTTACAAGCTCCGGCTTTTGATGAGGGAAATATTTATGTAAATTCGCTATTACCTCACAATAGCTTGCATAAAAAGTCTCTTTACTTTTTGTAGCCAAAAATTTCTGGGCCAGCACAGATAGAACTCCGCACAAATTTCCTGGGAGTGCGGTGGGGAACGCTTTTCGGATCTCCTCTGGAAAGATCCCTTCGGCTGTAACTTTGTGCAGGACTTTAGTTACCAAAGTAGAGAAATCGATATCGGAAATATATGACTGCTCCTCTTCTATAGCTATATTTGAAGTGTTTCCGTGCGTCTTCGCCAAATGCATGTTTAGGCCTTTCTTTGACTTGAATTCTTTCCCACACTCACCACAACCAAAATCATGTAAACCAATAAACTCATGTATCTCCTCGTCGGAAATAAAAGTGACATCGAATAAAAGATCCTGATCTTCTAACACAATTTCAGAGATACACAGTGATTCAGATTCAGAAATGTCTAGATCAATTTCGTCGCTTCTATTCTTAATCGCCATCTTTGTGTTCGCAGAGTTGATGCAGGCTCGTCGTCACGTGACCACCAAAAGGACTTGCTCCAACATAAATCACGTGACTCATTGGACATTCCTAACCAGTCCTTTCAATAGACTATGCTTAAATGACCTCTTTGGACAGCACCATGGAAGAGCTCATAGAAATTGTACGCCAAAGTATCGAAAAAGTAAGTTTTAGTTTAAATGCTAATAACAATATTGATTTTGGTGATGTTTTAATAACTGTTGATTTTGTTGTGGATGCCATCAGTTTCATTGACTCAGTAACACGCTTGCCTGAAGACATCTATTCAGACGCTCTAGCTGCACGAAGGTCGATAGAAGATGCCAGCAAGATGGCTAGGGTGCCATTAACCTACAATGGACACCAGGGTAGAACATCTTTTGACATTTCGGAGCTGCAGGTTTTGTCTCTTTTGGATTTGGGGTTCTCTGTCCCGCAAATCAGCAGCCTGTTGCATTTTTCCACGAGGACAGTCTGACAGTTGAAAGACGAATTTCATTTTACGGCTTGAAGGCAAGGGGGCACAGCCAAATTCCAGATGAGGCATTGGATGTTAGGGTTGCAGAAATTAAACAGTTCAATCCAAACTGTGATTCAAAGGTCCTTACCGGTTAGCTATCTTGCAGCGCAAGGTATAAAGATTTCGAGGGAACGGATACGAAGAGTCGATCCAATTGGTGTAAATGCTCCGACTGAAGAGAAGCACTGGCATCACTTGCCGGGGTATTTGAAACCAGTGGCGGATTTAAGGTGGGCAACTAGGAGCAGTTACCCCTCTCTTGACGAGTTGAAGCAATTCTGGCGCCCCTTTTTTGGAAATTGTGCGCTCCTTTTGAAGAATGAGAGTCAGGGGAAAAAGTTTCTGAGACCGACAGGTTAATTTGCTTCAGGGATTACCTCAAAGTTATGTTGTTTATTCTGAAAATGGATCTGAAATTGTTGTATACAGCGTACTCTCGTCACCAATTTTTGAAAATTTTTTAGCGCCCCCACTATCGACTACCTCTCCTTCAAATTTGCTCTGGATCCGCCTCTGTTTGAAACCTCTGATGTTGGAGTTGAAGAAAGCTGCGATGCAACCCTTCACAAAAGTCAAGCAGCATCTGCAAATTCTTAATCGGCCATTCCTGTGGCCGGGCACATACCGAGACACCTCTGTACCGCCTAGCCTGCGCGCAGACGCAAGCTATGTACCGCCTACCATGGGTACCAGACTCACTATATATAGTGAGTCTGGTACCCAGGGTATGTACCGCCCTGCTGTTTCCCAGAAAAAATATCACTTTACAAAACAGAGGGGTACCATTTAACGCAGCAAAAGGTACCATTTTACAAAACTAATGGTACCATTTTATAAAACAGAGAGTACCCTTAATGAAACAGACAATTTCGGCGGTAACGGCACCCCATAGTCATGAGCTTTCTCGTCGCAAAAGAAATCACATAAAAATGAATCAGAATAGCGAAAAACAATGTAAGATAACATTGGATATCATTGTGCCGCAAATGTAAAATTAATAATTTAAGGCAACCAGAGATCTGGAAAAGTTTTTCTGGATTATTTGTTATGTGACCCTGTTTTGCCCCACCCCCCCCCCCCCACCCCCCCCCCCCCCCCCCCCCCCCCCCCCCCCCCCCTTCTCTATACTTTCTCTAGCTGCACTCTGTTGTCTGTAAATTACTTAGATATGAAAATAAATCAGTGTATTGAAGGGAGCCACAAAATCTGGTTTCTTCCTTATGCTCGGCTTTTGATTAAATACTGCTACGAAGTGATTCTTAAATAATAATAAAAGCTAACGATATGTTAGAGGTATGGAACACCGGCTAACCGAAATAAGCGCTGGTTTTAGGGACTGCGAGACCCGGGACCGAAAGCATTAGCGGGGCCCTTGTTGGACAATTTTCATTAACCAAGTAGCTAATGCTGCCTCAAAGTTCACCATGTATCTTTTTATCTAAAACAGGTTGGTTAGTATCTGTTTGCAAATTTCTGCCCCATTGAGTTTCTCAAGTAATTCAGCATTAACTTGAACTTTGAAAACAAACGCTCCCTTCCTTTGCAGTTGGTTGCAAACATACGAGTACACAGGTTTGGTTCTAGTGCATATGGAGCAGGAGCGTTTGTGATTTGAAGTTCCGGCGGCCAACTCCCATTAAAATAAGACAAGGCAAAAGGGGACGTGGTCTCATGCCCATTACCCTCCCGCTGCAGTAGCTGGCACCGCCCCTGCTTGTAGGTCTAGAAACACCGTGAAAACTTGTGATCAGACATCTTTAATTTAAACCAGATTGTGCTAAGTATATAACAACGACATGTTTCAGATAATTGGCAGAGGCAGATCGTCTCTTCATCTAGCTGTTTTGGAATAGTCTTTATTGTATAGACAACAGGAGCTCGCCTATTTCGATCCACAACTGGGTACAGGGCCGCAGAGAGGATGTTTAGGCCCCGGGTCAGGACGAAAGATATATAGTAAAGACAGACGCTTCTAGGGGATACACATTATTAGGTAACATTCAGAAGCTTTTCAACTTCTTTAGACCAAGCCCACAAAGTTGAGAAATTCATAACAGCAGTCAAAGACTCAAACTGCTTCTACCTTACTTCTTTCATAGACTTTTGTCATTATTGTTTCTTTAAAAGACAGTTTGTGATAATGGAGAGGCTTGACTGTTACTTACAATGTTTTTAATTGAGTTATTATTTGTGGGCCCCTAAGGCCAAGGGCCCCCTGGTCAGTGACCCCCTGACCCCCTTCTTCTCAGCACTGACTGGGTAGATATTTTCCATCTTGTTTTTGGATACTTATTCTGACATTTTATACTCTGAAGAGTATCATACAAAAAGCTTCTACTAGTATGTTATAAACGTTTGCTTCTTTCAAAGCCATTTTCTCGAACAGTGTGATATATAAGGGCAGAAATGCGCCCATCTTTCATGTTCCAATTATTCAAATCAAAGAATTAATACGAGGAAAACAGCCTGCTAAAACTAATGCGATAGTTTACAGGAACAATGCTTTCTTATTTAGAGAAAATATTCGCAGAACATTTATGTAGATTAAGAGCTGGAAGGAAGATGCTTGCTGTGGCAATTTTGTAGGACCTGTTTTGCAGGAGTGATCACCATAGTATTCCTCTTTCAAAGCTAGTTCATTTTCATTTCATTTCATCCTTTTATTTAATATAATTAACATAATTTCTTTTATTACGTGGAAAGGTGTGACATTTTACAAAGGGGTGGGCAATCCTTTTACCCTTCCCCCTTCTAGGAATGATCAGCTTCCTATGTCAAGGGTCGTGAAACCATGGGGCTTATTTAATAATCAGACTACCCAGGGATGTGCCTCCAAACAGGCCTAATTCTTGGCTAAAAGTGCAGAGTAAGGATTTTACATTTTGTTATTTTCCGCGACAGGTATGCCCTTTGAAGAAACTTTTTCTAGGACAGATAAAATTTGTGATGTAAATGAAAGTGTTGTCTGCTTTGTCTCTTAAAGCTCCAAATTCCATGTCAATTCAGAAAGATTTTGTATGTCTAGGCAAACCATTGATCTTCTTCCACAAGGGGTTTCAGAACTTTGTTTTTTTATGAAAATATAGATTTCTCAACCAGAAAAACTAAAGCTGCCTTCGCTTACAAGTGGTACTTGAAAATAAGCTAGGATACAAGTTAAGATCAAAGGTTCATATTTTAAGATAAAAGAAATCCAGCGCTGCACCCAATACAAGTCTGTTATGAGCAGATATGTATGAAGTTTCAAGACAGTGATGATAAAGTAAAATAACAATAAATAAAAATCAGCAAAACATGAAACAAATTTTCATTTATTCAAGAATTTTGAATACAGTAAGCCCCAGCAAATTGGGACTAACAAAGGGTCTAACAAAAATGGTTATCGATTTAAGAAAAATGTATCCAAAAGATAATTTTAGGAGCCTCAATTTATTAGGGGTATTTTTGTATGAAAATATTGATCAAGATTCAAGGGTAATGCACAAAACTTTGGATTTGGTAAATGCTGGATTCACCAGGTGTTAAAGTTATTAGGAATTTATTGTATTGACTGAATAAACCCAGTAATTGGTCTTGACAGTGATAGATCTATTTCAAAACAAGCAGAGGGCGCATCATGCTAAAGAAACTATAAGAAAGCCAAAATTACTTTTGTATACTAACAACATTCTTTTTCCTTTCTGGGACATGTTTAAATGTTCCAGGTTTACTGTGCAATTCAACATTTCTTTGTTTCCTTCTAGCAGACTTGATTTCTTCTCTTTTCTGTTTAGATGCTTTGTACACCATAGCAGGAACATGTCTGTGCCTCAAAATCCTCTTTATCTTTGGATGATGTTGAAATTTTTCTTTCAGCTTATCATTATATGATATGGCTGCTCTTTGTCTAGGAGCCAAAGGCCCTAGCTGTTCAGATGCATTGGCTTTCCAGATACGAATATTAGTTTCATCACTACCAGACAAGACAAATTTAGAATCTGAACTAAATTTGACACAGAAAACTCTCTGCATTCTTTTTGTATGATAAACCTCTCTACTGTGTCCTTGATCTCTGGGAAAAATTCTTATTGTTTTATCAAAACTTCCTGTCACCATTTCCTGACCAGTTGGTGCATAATCAACATCTAAAACTGCAGCTACATGGTCCATATGAACATTAACAGGCATGTTTAAACGCCTCATGTCAAACGTATAAACATTTGAATCTTCATTTGCAATACTGAATATATATGCCTCCATAGGGTTCCATGCTATTGCATTACTTTTCATTTTCATCACTACCTTTCTCAAAGGAGATCCACCTCTGATATCACATAAGAAAACTCCTCTATCTGATGAAGTTGCACCAAGAATGTGTGTCTCAACACAATTAAACTTTAAAGAAGTAATTGTATCTAAGCCCCATGAAAAGTTTCTAATTGGGACAGCTTTACTCTCATCCCATATTTCAACTTGCTCACCACAAGTTGCAAACTTATCCTCTACCCAGTGATGATCAATACCTGTGAGTAAAGTTTTATGGATAATGGTATTCTGGGGTTCACTGATTGAGCCAAAATCCGTATTGTTCCACTGCTTGATTATTTTGTCATCCCCAATTGAGAAAAAGCTGTCCCCTTTAGGATTAAAACAGAGCCCACGAACGAATCCGGAGTGCGCGTTTATCGACACCAATTCTTCTCGTCTTGGCAGATTCCACATTTTTATTACTCCATCACAGGAGCCGGACACGAGGAGTGATAATGACCTTGGGTTTCTGGATAAACAGTTCACGCCATCTGTATGTCCTTCAAGTGATCCAACAAATGGCTTTGCAAAAACACGCTCAAGTTTCGCAGCATTACTGGCTAGAGTGTACTCCCTCGGTGCTTCAAAAGGGTGAAGTGAAGGGTCTAAATTCCGTGGTACTTTGTTGATATCAGATGTACGTTCACGAACATAATCACTAGGATTTCTTGACAATACTTTAACCTTCATTTTCAATCACAAAGTTCTCGAGCGAAATGTTCTTTTTCAATGATGCTCTTGGATTTTCAATTGTGACTAAAAATAATATCCGACATTACTTCGTAACACTGTACAGAAACCATTTGGCTGAAGCCTCTGATTCAGTTTTAATCCAAAGGAGGCTAGAATTCCCAGCAAAACAAAACACTTCTTTCTCTTTTCGTGTTTTCGCGCCATCGGCAAACAAAAATGGCGAAATTAGAAGACCTGAAAGAAGTACTCAAAGAAACTTTAGAGAATCGAGGAGTTCTCGGGCAAGTTCGTGCAAGGATAAGAGCAGAAGTTTTCAATGCTTTAGATGAACCATCTGAAATGAAGCCAACACTCTCAAACGAGAACTTCCTAATAAATGAACTCATACGAGAATATTTAGAATTTAACAAGTATAAGTACACAAGTTCTGTGTTAACAGTCGAGACTGGGCAACCAAAAGACCAAATGGACAGAAGATATCTCATTCAGGAACTTAATATTGATGATGATTCAGAGCCTAACAAAATACCTATTTTGTATGGCTTGTTGTCACATTTTTTACAAAGAGGAAAGAGCTCGTCAAAAGCTGCCAACAAGACAGGTGAAAGACGCGCTCCGGGATCAAATAAAGAACCGACAAATTTCTCATCTTCAGAAGAACTGAGCAAAGATGATGATATCAATCCTAAACGTGATTATTTTATAACTTATAAAAATTAAACAGTAAATTAGAATTACACGTTTCTTTTATAAGAAAGTTTTTTTCAGCCCAGCCCCCAGACTTTCTTAGCTCTTTCCTAATTTCAGCACTAAAAATTTCTTAACACTTTGTTAACATGAAGTTGAAATGTTTTACGTCACTAAGCATGCGCAGTGATGGAGAAGATGAAATGCTATAATATGCTATATTTCTCAAAAACCCTCAATGTCATACTGTATTTGTCGTTTCCTGTTCAGCACATTACTGTATTGTTGAAATATTTCACTCTTACACCACAATTTCCTTTGAAACTTTGAATATCTAAATTTGTCAACTTTCTTAGTTTTCAAAGATCCAGCCCTGAAATTTCTTAACTTTTTGAAGAACCGAGCACCACTTTATGCCAAAAAACCATCAAATCAAGTTTAATAAGGAATTTATGTATTGGGCTTAGCATATGAAGACCAATGGTTAACTACAACATTTCAGAAAATATATTTTCAATGCAATTTTAGATTGCCTCTTTTTGTCAAAGTGAAGATGTAGTCTCATTGTTCAATCCTGATAATATATGTGTATGTTTATAACCAAATGTATTTCATATAAACCTCTTGCTGAAGCTATACCAAGGCTTCTAAAATTGGTGCTGGGTGCTTTTCCGAGCTCGGTGCTTTTTGGAAGGAACAAGGTATTTGAAATTTACAATCCCTGTTTAAAGACCCAATAATGGTTATCAAAATGAAAAACATTTTTAAGTAAAGAACCCTTCAATCTCTCCAATTCTTTTAACAAAAATCACCAGTGAAGAATAAAATCAATGTCATAGTTTTGTCAAACAAGAGAAGGAAGTTTAAATATCAACAATAGCTCCTATGGTGTACCCTTGAATGCTCAGCAAATGAAACAGAAGATAAAGAAAAGAAGTATAATTTCAAACTAAATTATTTTATTTACATAATTACATACAACTTGCTTCAAAATATAAATTCTAGATAAAGTACTAGAAAAGATTCAAAATTCTAAAATAAAGTGTTGTGGCTTAAAGCAAAATTTATTCATAAACAAACAGCTTGCTGAATTGTGCATAATTTTTCTACAGGAGAAATTTCCTTTCCTAGCTTATTTTCCAGAAAAAGGGTAAATATGATAAAAAGACATATACGGTTTTTTCTCATGTAGTTCCTCCCTTTCTACTATTCCTGCCACACTAATAAATTGTTCTTTTTTCTATACTTTGAGAAATTAATCCAATTTCTCTGATAATCCCGCATGCAGGTAAATTAAGACAGAAAAGCAATGTATTGCAAATATGCTTGGAGTTTGTAAGATTTGTGGAAATTTAACGCTCTTATTGTCATGTCTTGTCGTTCTTAGTTAATAAAAGCAAGGTTGAATAATAATTTAGCAAATCATCTTCATTTTCCACAAATCATCTAAAGCCACATCAAAATCTGACAACAAAATTAAAGTTGACTAATGCACAATCTAGTATAAGTGCTTAATATTTTCAAGAATTCTTTTCCTTGGCCCAGCAGGAATTCCAGCTCCTTTTAATTGTTCATCACTTGTATATGGTAGCTCCATTATCCCAATTTTTGCCTTTTGAAACAGTTTAGAATATTCCTATGAGATCAAAAGTTAGATATCTTTAGGTATAGATTCGAGTTCAAGAACAGTAAATTAATCGCACTAACTAAGGTCAAATATCGAAATTTTGTTCATTTAGGTCACATTCCCTTGTAAAAAGCCTGGTAAAAATAAGACATTTCCCACTTAGGAGTTGCCTCTAAAAATTTGGAATTCCATGTTTATATTTCGCCCTTGTTTCCATTTTCTTATGTCCCCTTTGATCTGAGATTTTTTCAAGTCAGTCTTATGCCGGGGCGAAATATTAGCCACCGTTAGTTTACGTATGTTTATTGTTGTTTGTTCTCGGCGTGCGCAGTGTTCCTTGTTTGCTACAGTCTTATATTCTCTCTTTTGCATGACAACGGATCCCCTCTGCCAGTCAACAACAAATTTTGCTGCCCCTGCCATATTGAACTTCTATCCCATGTGAAAAAAGGTCAGCTGGCTTGTTACACAAGGATGTTAGGTAGCAAGTGATAACAATTTGTTGGGTCTAGGTCTAGATACTGGCTGTATGGGCCAAGATATTGTTGTGAAATGGTAAATGTTGGCAAGGTCAAATCAAAACAAGGTCAAATTAGAAATGCATGTTCAGATTAAAACCGTACCTCATATCCAAGCTCTTTGAGAAAATTGTACAATAGAGGATGTCCAGGGTCTTCGCCAAAGAATCTACAAATTATAACACAATGAAACAGAATAAGTGATATATACATGCATGTTTCTGTAAAACGTAAAAAGAAAAATCTTATGTACAGCTCCAAATGACAAAGTTATCTCAATAGCGCATGCATCCCAAAAATGGACACATCCCAAAATAAATAATCTCTACCATGATTCCACTGTCTAATCTAGCACAATAAGGAAAACGAATACATCCCTCAAAATGTTAACCTTTCAGGTTTCCACTAAAGGGTGCATCTAAATAAGAAACACACCCTAATAACGTGCTCCCCTAATAATGAACACAGCTAATGCATCCCAATAATGCATCCAAATGGACTAGCAAAGCACGAAGCCATTTTGTCGTACAGTACATCTAACAGATATATCTAATAGCAACTCAATCAATATTAAGTTGGAGGCTCAAAGAAATTCCTCCTCTTATATGTGCAAATTGCGTTCTCGTCAGCGCAGCAGTCGATTAATCACACACCCATGCACTTGTATTCGATATCAAGGCCGTCAACGATGTTAAATCGTCCATCATTGTATGCCTGCATTTTCTACCAAATATAAACAAAGCATTTGGTTGTGGAAGGGGAGTTGCTTGAGAGGAGGGCTGGAGAGTGCAGTTTTCACCCTTTTAATAATGAAAAATAGTTAAATATAGATGGTGATCTCATTTGTACCAGACCCTGTAGCAGATCCTTATCGCTAAGAAAAGTCAAAAATTATGTTTACCATCCTTCTTTGAAACGCAAAACTCTATGCAAAAGATCTCTGCCCGTAAGGGCTTATACTTAAATTTAAGCTAATAAAAGATTTGCATCATTAGATCTACATTACCTGCGAAGTTTTCTTATAGTTTTTTGTGATAACTTATCAGTTTCCACGAGTCTTACTCTTTCTTGCAAATATTGCAGTTCATTAGTTCGTCTGCTCTTTACGTCATACATATCTTTCTGAAGAGTGGCGACCTGATTTCGAATTGCATTCTGGGACTTTAATTCCGCAGAAAGGTGTGCCACACTTCTGGCTAAAGTGACAACATGAGACTCTAGCCTGGTGAACCGTTGCTCTATCATCCTGCAGAAATATGTTTACATCAAAATCTGACAACGAGGCAGGGACAAGACCGTAAGAAAGTATGACATATAAAAAGTACGACAAATGTTCTTCTGGAAGAAGCTGTTTATCAGGTTTATAGCATCTACGCGTTTCAGAATGTCTCTAAACTGGTTACAAAACTGGTTCGCTGTGCAACGAGGTGGCTAGGCTATGATCAAGAAATAAACAATATATGAAGGAACGACAATATAAAAAAGGTTATATTTGTTTTGTTGTGTAACGAGCCACCTCGTAGCATACTTGCTGTCGAAACTTTACATTAACTTTGAAGGAAAAAGTTTGTAATAGTTATATTCGGTCACTAGCTACAATTTGGTTACTTAGAACTTATAAATATTCTGTCGTTTATATCATTAAGATTGCAAAGATAGCTTGTTTTTATCTGCAAACTCCGAAAACCCTGGCATTAAAGAAACTTCATAAAAAGTCCAACCCTTGTAGTAAATATTCAGATGAAGGTAGTGATAAACCAGCAGCTGGATTATAGGAAAGAGAATACGTGGGAAATTCTTAGCGACTTTTATTCGAAATAGGTCCATAAATAAGATAATCATAACCATGTGAAGTTTTAATGTATAAAACAGGACGCTTGTAAGTTGCTACTCCGAGTTTCATCCCGTTCACACACTTAAATGAACGTCAAAAAAAAGATGAAATTGTACCTTCTATTTCAATGAAATATTTAAAAAAATCTTTTAAATGTTAAGCACCAACCTTGTTTCGTTATTTCTTTGTTTTTTTAAATGTCTTTCCTTCCTGTCTGCAAATAAAAAAAAGGTCCAAGCAGTTAAAAAAAATAATTTACGGGCTAGCTTGTATTGCATTCTTCGTTAATATATAAGTTAAGGTGATTCAGCCCGTTTTATGCTGACTAGGATAGTCACTTCATCACTGCAGGTCTGCCCACTCAGAGATCAAGCCAAATCTCATGTGAACTGATAGTAAATTGAAGCGATCGATTCCTCCTAGTTTACATCTTTGATTTTAACTGAATTTCAAAAGGTACAAATAGAAACAAGGAAAAACATTTCAAATATTTTTAGAGGCTAGCATGGAAAACTGCATATTAAATTCTGTAAAAACAAAACTTCGATTTGTTTACATCCTTACCGGTCACATCTGATTTGCGTAACAGCAACTTCCTCTGACTTTCTACAGCTTCTGCTAGAACTTGGTAATACTTTTGAAGTGAAATAACCTTTGTAGAAAAATGATACTTCAAAGCATTTCTAGTATATATGAAGTAAGTCAACTTAGAATGTTTTTATAGCTCATATATAAGCGGCAAGAACAAACAGAAATGACAAATATGCGTGCACCAATTTACAGGGGGGGCCTGCTTATATGGGAAAAATCATCCCACCTTCAATCCTGTGAGCTGAGAGGTAGGATCCCACCATCCTAAATCTTTGTATCTTTTTTTTTATCGTCTTGCGTTTGCATTGTAAACAAGCCAGCTCTGTTAGGAGAAATTTGGCATTGCCCCTTTCTTGAAAGAGCTCCATAAAATTTATCAGTTGGTGATATCTTTCACTTGCACAAAGGCAAGAAAATGACTGCAAATAGTCATTCTGAGATGTATTTAAGCTAATCTAAAAGGCGTGTTTGCCACGGGGCCTTTTGAACTTCTCTGTGGGCGCATTGACTATGGTGGGCTTGAACATATCTGATGCAGTATTAGACAGTACTAAATCATCAATCAAACAATATACGATGAAATCAAAACTGCTTTCGAATTATATCTAATTTGAATCGCGTAAAGATCAGCCAAACTTTCCATCAAATTTTGCCAAACAAGAATTATTTTCAAATGTATTCCCCACTGACAAAAAGAATGAAACTGGGCAGAAAAATGAAAAAGAAAGAAAAGATTAAATGCAGAAAATAAACTTTAGCCATAGTGTCTTTGGTGTCTGGTAAATACTGCCTTTGGTCTAACTCTCGTATCAGCACTTTCCTTAGAAGAGATATCAATGATATCAAAAGTCATTAATGAATTTTTCTTCTAGTTACTAAGTTATAGGGCGTGGTCCGCGAAAATTTCTTAAAGGTCGCGCCCAAAAATCAATTGTTTCGTCAAAATGTGCAGTGATAAATTTTCATTAAATATTTATAACTGAAAATGGACAAGCGATATCTCGAATTCTTAGATTTTTACGGCAGATAAAGATACGTCTATACCTTTGACTGCAGATCTGTGTCAAAACCATTTTCTTCAGCTTCTACAACTTGCAAGAGAAATAATCGGATTAGAACTACACCTAGGCAAGACTCAGATATTAAAGTCAATTTTAAATCGGATTCGAGGACAATTGGAATTCAGAGCTCATGATTAACCAAATATGATCCTGGTGGGAGTTTAAGTTACAGTGTTTTCTGCCAACTCTTTGTGTTCTTGAGGAAGGGGTAGTATTTCTTTATTTCAAAGCTGGAAAACGCGCACTGCAATCGAGAACCTCCAGTAGCTCCACCATCCCCCCGAATTCAGTTGAAAGAACTTTATAATCAGTTACAAAGTTTAAAACTAAATGAACAATGAAAAAATGAAATAAACGAGAATGGAACGAAAATGCTATCACTTTGAGTTATCGTCTCAGCAGAGAATTTTGAACAAAAAGATTGTGATATATTAGCAAGTGGAACAGAACTGCTTATTGCTTTGCTACAAGGATAGAATATATTTGCATTCTATCAAAACTCTTTAGATATTCAAAACTTTTATTTTCATTCCTTTCAAAATAGACAGTTATTTACCCAAGATGCGGATTCTCGCGTACGGATGAATAGTATCAAAGAAACACGAGATAGGCATGCAAACGGATTGTGTAAGGCTCCCCGGCATTTAATTCCTGTTTTGTCATTAAGTAAAAAATACTTTTCTAGGATTCATACCTGTAGAGTTTTGTACTGGAATCCTGCTTCTTTGAAACGCTAACGTCGAAAAATCAGATTGACTTGATTGGTCAAAACCTCTGTCAATTGATTCTTCTGAAGATGACAAGGATAATGGCGGTAGAGATGGTGTTCCAACCGACCAGCGATCGTCAAAGTTATCATACTCATATTCATCGCTTTCAGCGACCAATTCTACACGGTCAATATCCAAATCACTGAATTCCTCTTCATCGAAATCTTTTTCCACCATTCCTGGAATGGACGACATCCTTTCTATGTCCGGATGCTCTTCGTCGTTATATGAAACTGGACCGTTCGCATTTGGCTCCGGAGGATCGCCATTGTGTTGTAACTGCACAGTCCAAGTATCCTGAAAACTATAACGGTAAGATTAGGATCAGAAAGGATATTAAGTATTTAGAAGTAGAACATCAATATTTTGTAACGTAGATGCACGTGGTATAAAGGCGTGCAGTGTAACTAGATGCATGTAGTCCTAGAAAACGATTTTGAAATTTGGTACCTCTTGCCACGGTCAATGTTGGTTTCAATCTTTTAAAACTGACAAATGGAGACATTTCACAGGTGTAGAGGCGAAGAGGGTAGAAGAAGGGCTATGCATACGTGCTACCTGCCATATCTTTTGGCGTTTCTATAAAAAACTTTGCCCTGGGTAGTTGGATGTGTTACTATTATCACGTGACACATGAATGATAGCTATATCCAAAGAAAGTCCCCAGCAAATGCTGATGAATACTTGATGAGCAGTAAATGCTTAAACGACTAAAGAGACTTTTTCTTGAAGTTATGGATGAAAATGAGTTCTAAATTGCATAAATGTTTTCTTGGCCTTCAAAAAGAAGCGAGTGAGGAACTTAGATTAGGACTTATCGAGGTTCAGTATTAAAAATACAAACCTGGTCAGTGCGCTATTTTGCGTTTCTTCGTATCCGTTGGTCACCTTCAGTCCGACTTCAGAAGATCTTTGCTTCAACTTTGGATGCGATGGCTAAAAAGAACACTCGTTTAAAAAGCAACTGCATCTTAAAACTGAAATAACTTGAGATTGAGAATCATAGGAAAGGAAGGATTGGAAGAATCTGATCACATTTTTTGGATACATATAAAGTGCCAATTCTATCCGTCATTTCAACCGCTGAAGAAAATGACATCCAAATTCATTTGTTTCTTGAATACCTAAGTGTTTTATTTTGAAAGATCATCTTTGCGAACATTAGAGCAGAGCATATCTAGAAACTCAGTAATCCTTTGCTGTAAGCCTCATTTACACACGTGTATTTTTGGTCACAATGGAGCTGTACTTTTTCTGGTGCAATTAAGCATATAGTCAGTCATATTTTTGATATATTGAGAACAAGAATGCTATCAAATAACAAGAGGGCTCTTGCGCAAAATGCTACAAAAAACAATAGTAAAAGTAGAAATTGGCTAATTTTCGACAGTAACAAAAGAGGCACAGCCCCCATTGAGCCCCAGCAGCACTACCCCCCTCCTAATTGAGACGGAAATTAATAAGCTCCAAAGCTGTCATCTGGTACGTTAATCAAGTATAAAAAACTGGACAATGAATCTGATAACCTTAATTCTCGCTGCTGTCTTGTGAACAAAGACTGAAACGTCTTTGTTCACAAGCTAGGCCCTAGGTTTAGGGAAAGGGAGCTGTTCTCCTTGAACTTTCGATGTATTTTTACAACCTGACACTTTTTAAAAAGAATGTTCTCCACGGTAAAATGGTACTCAAGCTTCAAGAAGAAACCAATGTTCTGAGCTTACCACGTAACCAACTCCATCAATCCCATCCAGATTCTTCAGCAAGGAAGAATGGTCACTTTTTCTGGCAGATATCGATTCCTTGTAAAAAAATAATTGCACAAGAAACGTTAAATGTCTGATGCAACTATACAACACCTAATTAGACATCTTCATGCAAGGGAAAATCATTGTATCTGTCTCGACAAGGGACAATCTGTTTCGACAGCCTCTGAGGAAAGTCCCCATAGTTCACAGACTGATTTGAGATACATTTGAACTTTTCAAAACCACATGGTTTTTCATTAAGTCAAAGGGCTTAAATTATCATTCAGCGGTGACTTGCATTAGTGAAATTTCAAAATCCTTTTCTGACATACGTTAGATTGACGAATTAAAAGGGCAAAAGAGCGGATTAAAGAATGAACTTAAACCTTTTTTGGTTTCAAAGATTTCTTTCTTGAGACTCTTCTTGGCAATGATATATCATCTGTTGATGGATCTGAAGAAATGGAAATTGAGTACATAACAGCTGTGATCAACGTGCTTAAATGGATTTTAAATAAAGTGTAAACTTTTATCATGAATGACGTAAACAAATGAAAATGTAAAATTTTGAAAGCAAGTTTTAGAAATTAAAAATAGGCAACAAAATGGAAAACCACGAAAGTTATGAGGACTTAAAATATTTGCAGAACAACAGGAGCATAATGGGAATGGGAAGGGAGTACTTGCTCCCCTTTTGAACAAACTTGCCGGAAAATGTTGCATTTTTTCGGAAAAATGACAAATTATACGTGCAATTTTTAAAACCATTCTCATAACATTAGTAGAATTCTCATAATGCTGATAACTGTCACGTAAATCTTAAATTTCATGATAAACAAATTATCTTACTTTCAATAATTTGAGCAGTGACAATTTTCCCGGGTGCCGTGTTCCTCTTTTTAGCTTTTGCGTGGATTGATTTTATAATCTGAAAAAAATGAAATTTTATTACTTAAGCGCTCGACCAATATCTTGTAAATTGTGGATTCTTTAAAACCTCGTTTACATGAGAGAAACTGGATCCATTTCATATGATATCTGCCTCCAAATGGGGCCAGTACTTTGCCTGCTTTAAACCTGAGCCAGTTTCAGTCTTGATTTGTTTAAGACCAGTTTTCTCTTGTGCAAACACTTTATAGTTGACATCTTTTGGGACCAGAAATGGTACAAACGACGTGTACCGATTTCACCTGTAAATGTCCTGGCATTTGTGCAATTGCGAATCCTTGACCGTTAACAAATTACAGACCAGCAGTGCGATGGAAAATTGCACGAAATAGTATTAATGATAACCTCTAGAACCGGGTGGACCTGCGAGAAGCCCCTTTTTAGGATGAATGTGAAAGTAAAAATTTTAACATAAATTACCAAGTCGTCGTTATTGGATACATTTGACAAAAGATGCCGCTCGTCATTATTAGAAGCGTCACTGGCCCTGATGCTCTCGTCATCCAGCGTCCATTTGTTTTGCAGTGGTATGACGTAAGACTCTGGGTCAAAGTTTTGAGAAACAGACAAAGCTTCCAGCGTCAATTCTCGCCTCTTTCCCTTCTTTTTTCCATCCTGCGAAAAAATCCATACTTAAGACTAAAAACATGACATAGGATCAAATGAAAAACATATGCCATTTTGAACAAAGTGTCATATCAAAATCGAGGATTTTTAGCAATGGGTGGGTGCATTTTCGGTGAATATTTAAATGTGTCAGCAAATGAAGGTTGTCTCACTCACTTTGTTGGCAAATGAGGCCTGAACACCTCCCTAGAGCGAAAAAGCTAGCACTCGCACTGCTTACACCCTGTTAGATTAAAAACAAATTAAGAACAATCCATTTTCGAAAAAATTAAGAGCAGTCAGCCTGAACTTAAATTTACTGGTTCTTATAAAAAAAGAGTGTAGTACAAAAAATATCAATGTCCTATTCTTATTCGATTGCTATTGTTTACTACTAATGAATTTAAAACTTTGCTAAATAAATGAAATGAGTTTTTCATCCAGAATCTAAACTTTTTTTCAACAATTTTGTATCACTTTCGAATCGTGAATCTTTTTATTTTTGCAAAAAAGTTGGGTCGAAATCTTTTTTAGAAATATATAATATTTATATATTAGAAGGCCATTGAAAACATTTATCGACTCACTTGCTTTGTTTTGCAATGGTTTCATCTAGAAAGTCACGCTGCGTTCTCAATTTGGGAGAAATGAAGATCAAATTGGTACCTGGATATCGAAATTTTTGGGGGGTAGGGGCATTTTCCAGTATCTGGGTCGCAAATACATTCCCACCATCCGATTTTCTTCTCAACAATTTGAAAATGTTATTCCTGATTTTACAACAATTGACGTTTCATTAGATGATTTTGAATACTTAGGAGGCAGCATCAGTAACATTTAGCTGACATACTTTCGCTCATGCTGTTAATCAGAAAATAAGCAGAGTTTCATATAACCCGACAAAACTTCAAACATCAAAGTTTGTAAGCAAAACTTAAAATATTTCCATATTTTGGGATGTTCAGAAATGGGGTTCAATTGAGTTTTGGCATTGGGTAAAAAAACGTTGACAGGGAAATTTGAGCAGAGATGGCTTTCTTATTATTTTGTTTACCGGTTGTGGGGGTTTAGCCTTTAAATATTCCCCAAATACTCACATCTTACCTTCTTCTTTCGTAATATTTTCAAACATGTGAATCAAACCCCTCACTTATTTTTAATTTGTTTTCTGGAGGTGTAAGCAAGATGAAGGTCAAAATATGACCTGAAACAGAAACTTGAATACACTCAAGTTTAGCGTCACTAATATCAAACCGAAATATTGGAGCGGTCCTTTATAATTGCGGACTCAAATCTCCACGCAATTATGGCTATCGATGCAACTGTGCTTAGAAAATAATAAAAATAATCAATATTTACAGTAAGGCACTCGTGAATAACAAACTATGATTCTGCCTTTCAGTCTGAACAAGGACCTAATGTAAAATGGGGTTAAATGTAAAATGAGGCTTGTACCTTGTACCTTGCTTGGTACTCTTCAATCGACACCTAGCGTACATTGCATCATAAAGACTTTATAAATGCTCGACATATTTTTGTTAATCACTAGCTAGGATTTATTGATCAAGTATTGAACGTTTCATGTTTAACTTTAACAGGCTAAAACATTTCTTATTAGATGGCCTAATTCCACAATTTCAACCAGTGCAATTTTTATCGACTAGGTGTTTGTGGGGGTGTTTACGGTACACGTTTATTGGCAAAAATTAAACGAACAGGAAGACAGGCTCTGGCATACCCTTACCCTTTCCGCTTATCAACTAAATTGGGGTTTATGTGACAGGAAAGGCAAATATTATCGTTTGATATCAATTTCAAATAAGTTTCAGTTTGCAGGTGAACGACAACTATCAAGAGAGCAGGAAGTAGGCTACTGGTGTCATGCAGATGTTAACTGTTTATAACATTGAATCTGTTGTGTTTTAGCCTAAACTTAGGTAGGCGTTCTGTAATATTTCCTCCTTCCAAGAAATAATTTTCCAAGCTTGTTTTCGACGATCTGTATCCGGCTAAGCGACTTATTTTTATGTTTCAGCAAACATTAAGTTATCTCAGAGTACATAAATCATAAATAGTCTTCAGATATTATTCCTCTTTCGACCTTCAAACAAAAGCTCAATTCTGAAACATCACCCTACCTTTTTTGAATCACCTTTTCCGGCAGGTAGAATTTTCCCCAGGATGTTACGACTCTTTGCACTAACGGCCATTTTTCATACGTTTGTTGCCTGAGATGTAATGGTTATGATAACAATCTCCGTCTCTTTCACTGGAAATTAAAAGCAATTTCTATAGATTCATTCTTCCAGTTGCACTCATCCGATAAGCCATTCAAAAGAGCGGCCTAGCTTACAAAGGGTTATCCCGCCTAGAAGGATCAGTTGTTTGAGAAGTGTGTTTTTGTACGCATGTGGTGACTTTCAATGAGTCATTTGTAATTCGTATTTCGATCTTTTGGCGATTTCAATATATATATCTTCTGCAGATTGGCTTAAATCAAAGCCATTTCCATGGAATAATACGAGCCAGCTATGTCATTAATGGCAATTACTATCTAATTACGTCTTCCAAATAGCCAGACCCCAAAGCATATAAATCAAACTCCTTCACGGCCTTCACTGAACATTACTTGTGCCTTGTAGCTCTGTGACCTGCAGTCGGTGTGGGAGGGGGTAGGAGAAGAGTACTACCCTAGCATATACCTGCCAAAAATTTCTGCATTTTTGGTTGGGCCACGATTTTTTCGTGAACTTTTACTTAAGTGGCGGTAGAAGAATTTTATATTCTTTTTTCATATTCAATTTTATATTCGTTAACAAAAATTTAACAAAAAATAAGAAACATTTTTAGGCCTAAGCTTGAATAGTTACCGCCTTTGTCGCGAATTCAATGCAAGACATGGAGGGAAAGACATTCAAATATTGTTGAAATATAAACAAAATAGAATGTAATTTTATATCATAATCAAAACCAGTGCTATCCTGAAGTTCAATTATTCTATGTTCCATAATTGTTTTGTTAGACTTCACTGGTAGGTTTCTATTCCAAGTCCATGCTAGTTCAAATACACCAAGCTACCAAAACAACCTCATCCAGCTGTACGCGAAAAGCAATATTGTGGAAAGTTTAATTTTGAAGAGCAGTGCAAACACGACAAAGAATAATCATGATTTTGAAAATAAAGTATAATCTGTATATATTTAAATTCCCATCCCCAAAATTCTTGAATAAATTATGAAATAACATATTCCTAAATTTTCAATTATCAAAAGTTATACATCAAACATTACACATCAACAAATTATGTTAATCTTGTTCTCGTAAAAAATCACGTTATAACAACTTCCCTTGAGCCTCCTCAGCAATATCCTCAGTGATGAGTTGAAACTCTAAAAATCATCACCAATTGGGGTGGCAAGAGGAATACCGTAAAAGCTCTAGTAAGCTCCCGGGGGCTTATGTATTTGTTCAGTCCTAGAAGGGGCTTGAAAGAGAGGGGGGCTTATTAGAGAGAGGGGGCTTATCAAAACTTTGAAGTAAAATATGTTTTAAAAATGCACTTGTCTATTTTTCTGTTATAAAAATGTCATACAAATGTTCTCAGAAAACTTCGCTAGCAGCTTTCAAAGTTTAATTTATCAGTTATAAGGTCCTTATCTTCATCAGAATCACCGGGATCAATTGATAACCCTGGGACATCTTCTTAACAAATTTTGACTGACTGCTTAGGTGCACAAGTAAGTCTACATGGGCCGTATTAAATGCACACGATCTTATTATCATTACACCCGTTAAGAGAGCCACTAAATGCGCAGGTTTTCCTTGTTTGACAACAAAGGCTAATTAGGGGGGGGGGGAGCTTAATAGAGAGTGGAGGCTTATTTAAGTTTTTGCTTGATAAGGAGGGGCTTAATAGAGAGGGAGCTTCATAGAAAGAGGGGGCTTAATTGAGAGAGGGGGTTTAATAGAGCTTTTACAGTATGCAAATAATTTAAAAAAAGGAACTATCAAAGATTAGATTTTATGTAAAGAAAAATCAAGCCCTAGGAGAATTATTTGCTTTATAATGTGATATAAATTTACGCACCAAGCCATTAAATTAAGATTGTAATAGGTTTTCACTACTTACATTTGATTTATTGTATTATGTATTGTTATCTGTTGGTGTAAGCAAGTTCACAATCCAGTGTTGAAATTATTTTAAATGATGTTTATATTTTTTTGTTTATATATATGATATTAACTTAACATTAAATATTTTTACTATCAACGTATATCAATATAAATGACGGTTTCTTGAGAATTGTCACAGCAAGCACTATTTTAACCAGAAAATAGGCAGCTTTCAAACGATTCAAGATTTTGATTAGAAGCGCCTCGCCAAAGAAATATGCTGTGTTCCTTTAATTTTTGCCAAACATAAATTATCAAGTGAAGCAACATGGCAACCTATTTCAAGGTATTGATATTTTTCTATTATGCTCTAAAATATGGTCCATGTAATAACTGATTAAACATGTAAAATGATTCATATCAATATTGACTCATAACAAGGTAATATTGCATCTCTTCCTAGATATATAGTTTTCATGCTGTGGCATGAACATTTCAAGTCAAGAGCATTTAATCCAAATCTTTTCTTAAGTGTTAAAATAAAATACATTTGCAAATAATGGCTTGCAAAGTACTCAAACTATCAAATCAAATTCGAAAGTAGCTAGAGTGTCGATTGAAGAACTGTACGCTAAGCAGCCACAGACACCCATAAAGCTGCAGCCATCTTCACACAAATTCACAGCCATGTTCACATGAAGATACAGCCATGTTCACATTTAGCTACAACCACGTTCGCATGAAGCTACAGCCATGTTCACATGAAGATGCAGCCATGTTCACATTAAGCTATAGACATGTTCACACAAATTCACAGCCATGCTCACATGAAGATACAGCCATGTTCACATTTAGCTACAGCCACGTTCGCATGGAACTACAGCCACGTTCGCATGGAGCTACAGCCATGTTCACATGAAGATGCAGCCATGTTCACATTAAGCTATAGACATGTTCACACAAATTCACAGCCATGCTCACATGAAGATACAGCCATGTTCACATTTAGCTACAGCCACGTTCGCATGGAACTACAGCCACGTTCGCATGGAGCTACAGCCATGTTCACATGAAGATGCAGCCATGTTCACATTAAGCTATAGACATGTTCACACAAATTCACAGCCATGCTCACATGAAGATACAGCCATGTTCACATTTAGCTACAGCCACGTTCGCATGAAGCTACAGCCAGTGGCGTAGCTAGGGCTGGAAGATTGGAGGGATAAAAAAGGGTGCGAAAACAAGGGGACCAGGGGTCTACCGACCGGGGGAAATTTTGTTGACTACACCCTTAAAAGTCTTTTGGAAAAAGCCTCAATCTGTAAACATGTTTGAAAAAAGCTATGGCTTGTGTAACGTGGCAATGGTTGGCTAATCAAACACCCCAACAGTCATATGTAGCTTTTTTAGCTGGCCTCATTCTACACTTGCTATTTCCTTCACAATTCCTCTCACGAATATATCCTTAATCTTGTCAGTGGAAGAAGTTCTAGCCAGTTTTCAAATTTTAAAACTTAAAATTTTCAAATTTCTCCTACGAGCAAAGTCTGCAAAGTCTGCATAATTTCAGCATCTAGTTTTTTTGGGATACAAGCATTTCAGCATTTAATTTATCGGGAAATTCTAAAGAACGTGAAGGATTTTTGTGAAAACGAGCAGAAATTGTAAAGCAGTCCGTATAAGGATAGACGAGGCTTCCTTGCGAGCAAAGCGATCAGAAAATTTTGGCGACAATGCCCTTTCAATTAGCTAAATTTACACCTCAGAATATTTCTTGCAGTCGTTCCCTTGCAATCGTTTAAAACGTGTTACTTCTATCTGAAATAATATCCCCCCCCACTAGGTACTAATCTTAATGAAGATTTGCACTAATTTCAGATACCAACTTTCTGAGCAATGGAGGAGAGTGGGCGCCCCCTTGCCTCCTCGCTACGCTATTGGTTGCTGCCATAATTGCTTATAGCTATAGCCATGTTCACATGAAGATGCAGGCATGTTCACATTAAGCTATAGACATTTTCACATGAAGATACAGCCATGAACAGCCATGTTCACATTAAGCTATAGTAATGTTCACATGAAGATACAGCCATCTTCACACAAGTTCACAGCCATGTTCACATTAAGCTACAGCCATGTTCACATGAAGATGCAGCCATGTTCGCACAAAGCTATAGCCATGTCCACATGAAAATGCAGCCATGTTCACATTAAGCTAAAGCCATGTTCATATTAAGCTATAGACATTTTCACATGAAGATGCAGCCATGTTCACATGAAGATAGAGCCATGTTCACAAGAAGATGCAACATGTTCACATTAAGATATAGCCATGTATACATGAAAATGCAGCCATGTTCAATTAAGCTATAGCCATGTTCACATGAAGATACAGCCATGTTCACATTAGGTCATAGCCATGTTTACATTAGGCTATGGCCATGTTCAAATCAGGCTACAGCCATGTCCACGCAAAGCTATAGCCATGTTCATATGAAGATACAGCCATGTTCGCATGAAGATACACCCACGTCGCATAAAGCTAAAGCTATACCCATTTTCACACAAATTTACAGCTATGTTCGCATTTAGCTACAGCCACTTGCCAACAAGGAGAGAGCTCCGTTCTAAATATAGAAATTCTAATGCCTTCCTTCCTGGAATGTTGCATTTCATATTTATAATTACTCTAAAATACATTCACCAGCTAATTCGAAACAATAATATAGACAAACATTGCAAGAAAGATTCCATTAAAGAAAATATTGACAGCTTGCTATTTCCAGGTTACCATAAATTATTCTAATTTGTCGGGTATGAGAAATAGTCCATTAAAACTAATAATATATATAAATTCATATAGGATATAAAATATATGTATAGATATGCATTTAACAGTTTGGCATAATATTTTATTGTGATAAAATGATAAATGAAACAAATTTTCGACAAATCGAAAGAATAATTATGTAAGCTAAAACCTCCCATGCAAGGAGTCACTGGACTTATATCTGTATAGATTGTTTTGCTTATCGAATTCCTGGAATTTAGTCCCACCTAAGAGCCTCGATATCATTGGGAGATCGTCGGAAAGCGACTGGTTAGCTTGTAACTCAGCAGCTAGTTTACGTAGTGACCCGGAATCAATTGATTTTCGACGGTCAAAAGACTCGTCATTTGCTGGATGTCCATTGCGATTCGATTTTGCTCGTCTCGGCCCAGATGCAGCTTCGTTTTGTGACTCGCTAGAGCTATTTCGCTGGTGGTCCGAATTTACTGATGGACTCGATGCTGCCCGACGAATATTTTCAACACTGAAGCCTTTTTGTCTGTGTAGTCGAGACAACCTGTTCGCCTGCACTGTTTTCCGCGACTGGACCATCGCCATGTTTCCTGAAGCCATTACTAATTGGTCCGGACCATTATTCATGGTTTGATCAAGACTGTAATTTACAGAAAAACCTCTTGTCTGGTCTGGGGTATTTTTACGAGTTGTACCATTAACAGAGACAGGAAAACCATCAGAGATCCAGGCAATAGATGCCGATGAATGACTGGTTTCAGAGCTGTGTGGCTGAATCTTTGTAGCGTTTTCCCTTGCTTCGCTTAAAGAAACAGGCTGGATTGACGACGAGGGTGCTAGTTGTGACATAGAAGAGCTCAGAGGACTGGCCTGATGTTCTGCACTAATATGAAATTCATCGTTAACTACTTTTCTGTCAGTGGTATACGGCGTCGGAATGGACAGTGAACGCTCTATGGACGGCACTGGCGATCTTCTATAAGACATAGATGCTGGTACTGTTGTACTTAACCTTGCAGGATTGCTAGGAGAAACTGACGTTGGGCTTCGGGTCACTTGTGTTGACATCCTCGGTTCGCTGTACTTCTTTGTCATATATCTCATCACATGTTCATCTATCGCAACTTGCTCTCTGCCATTTTTAGAGATAATGGTTGGTAAAATAGCATCCACCTCATCAAATGATGAGTGTTGGGACGAGAAACCATTTAACAAACTTTGATAGCTCAGTTGAGATTCCATGCTGTCACTACGATGACCCTCACTGTCAAGAGAAATATCATTTAACCCTAATTTCCCTGCTGGTTTCTGGCTGTTGAAAATCTGAGAGGCTACTTCGTAACAAGGAGGTGGTTTGATTTTGTCAAGATCGTAACTAGGGACCACTGTTAATTGCGGAGTGTTAGGAAATGTATATTGGGCTGAAGTCATTGCGTCATTATCGAGCGAGTAGTAAGAGTTTCTGTGATTCGCACTCACTAAAATATCCCTGCTCACAATTTCAGCTGGCATTGACGAAGATTTAGATGGTGATGGACTCGTAAAATCTTTTGTTCGATCGCCTACCGGACACTTTTTTGAAGGGTACATCACTGCATTAAGAGATAGAAAAAGTCCATTCTTTGTATATTGCTTGTCTGCAGTACTTCCTTGTGAGCTTGGGCTGTTACCACCGATTTTTGCATCAGACTGCTTTGAGTTGTTGCTTTGCACTTCACTTAATTGAATTGCTTTTCGGTCCACTGGACTCACTTTACCGATCGCATTAGACAACGGAACGCCCAAATCTGATCTAGTTCGTCTTCTTAATGGAACAATATTTTCGTTCTCATCGCAATTTCGGAGTTTTTCTGCTAATCGATCTTCATCTTTTGCAAGTTCTGTAACACTGTTTGCTGATATGTCAGCAGTTTCGCCTTGCAAATCGAGTACAGCCTCACTTTCGATTACAACAAACTCCTCCTCGACAATGGGGTCCTGCACTTCAACTGAGTTAGTAAGGGACTGGCTTGGACTCGAGTTCTCGCGTGTCTTAGACATGCCGCTATGTGACCTAGTTATAGATCTTCTTAGTTCCGTCAGTGCTGCATCCATTTCTATTCTTGCTTTCTTCCATTCAGCCTTGTTAGAAATGGTCGGCTGTGGGGAGCTAACTCTTGACCTCTTCTTCATGTCGAGTTGCTGGCATGGATCATTTCTATCATGAACTAAAGACAAAACGTTTTATAAATATAAAAAATCGGAAGTCCGGAAAGTAAACATATTCTTATCATTTAAAAATGAATGAAATGCATCGATCAATACGCAAGAAAAGCAAAAAATCTGGAAGGTAAAAATAAAAATTTGGAAAAATATCACAAGAAATAAAAATAAACAAAAAGGATCCATAGTCAATATCAAACAACCACATTTCTTTGCAAACCATTTTTACAAAGGCACCAGCCCACCTTAAAACAATGGTTTGTCTTTAAATTTCAAAAAACAACAAACGAGTTCAAATTCGGCCGCTTCTGATGCAGAAAAAGATTCATGCGGCGAGTAGCATCCTTTGTATTTCAAAATGCGTAAAAATGTCCTAAACCTGGTGTTTAAGTGGAAACATTGCAACAGAAATAAACGATTTGGATACAAAATTTTGGGTATATCTATTTACAACCCTTTAATTATGAATTGGCTATAAGTAGCCCTTACTGCGCTGATTGGAACTTTTGATTAATTTAAATGTCAGCTCACACTCATAAACTTTGTTGACGTGGCTGCGAAAAGTTTTTTCTCTTTAGGAACCTGTTAAACGCTGAACGAAAGAAATTTTTTTCTTGATGCAAGTATTGTAAATTGTAAACATTCAAAGAAATAAATGACTATATTTCTTAGCAGACCTTATTTTTTAGATTTTGCTTGCATCATTTTCTTCCTTAGATATTTTTCGCTTACAAAAAATTACACTGATATCAAGAATTATGACTTGTTAAAACTAAGAATTTTTATTAGGTAATACTACCACTATATTGGCATTTTGTTTTATCTTTTAGTTTTTCTTTCAACACGTCGGTTTAAAAACAGTGCATGTACTGGAACTGTTTACGGTATAAATATTATAAAATGAACAACTGAAAAATTATAAAAAAGGACTGAAAATTTTCGATCGCTGAAAACTACTTTCCTTTCTAACTATCGTCGCTTTGGTGGCCCATGGGCAATTGGAAAACGTTTTATTCCGTGTTCAGGTTAACAAGCATAATTACTGAGTTTATGTTAGTGCTTCAGGTGACTGGAGCATAATGTAGAATGATGACGCACATCTGAAAGAACGTGCAAATTGTAGTGCTTGAACGCATAGTCTTACCTCTGTCAATAAAAGACTTCTTTACAATTTCAAGTAACACCGTAGGTCCTGATTTCGTCAACAGCGCAAGGGCTTCCACATCAGACATCCCTTCAACTTGCTGTCCATTGATCGACAAAATTTCATCACCTTGAAGAGATTCTTTTCATTAAATCGAAAATTTAGAAAGACAATATAATAATTACTTCTAATTTAAGTGATCTTACTTTAAGTTAACTGTCTTTCAAAACAAGCAACTCCCACAACAAACTCCGATGTGTCAAAAGAACTAAAAAGTCGCTAGACGTTCAATCAAACTTATGCATCATGCCAGTAAGAGAGTTTTTGCAAGAGTAAGAGGTTTGTGATGTTCCCTTCTGAGACAATTAAAATACACAACAAGCGCTACAAATGCTCTTGAACATTTACCACGAGAATTAACACCCTTCTCCCCTCAAAACTGAGACCAAATGCTGGAAATATACCATAAGATACAAAAGTATATACAATAAAATTTGAAAAAACTTTTTCAGCAGAAAGCGTGTTTCCAGTCAAGTAAAAAAATATAATTTACTAATTCACAAGTTTACTATTTTACATAAAAAATGTTTTCAAACAGTGTATATCATAAAATAGAGTTATCCTAAAGGTAAAAAAGAAATCAAAAAGTTTTTTATCTGATTTCAAAATGACATATCACTATATGAAAGTTTCAAATGTTGCCATAAAATAAAGGTCACCATGAGGATCTAAGTGTAGGCAAAGCTGTTACAACAAAGAATCAAGTAAAATAAAAACAGATGTGAAATAACTAGCAGGAAGACTTAATAAAGAGCATAATTTGACTTGGGCTAGAAACAACAATTGAAAAATTAAAGCGTCAGGGTGCCAGAAATAAAGCGTAGGATCAAAAGCTTTGGAAAATACCTGGTTCAACACTACATCCAGAACGTAGAATGAGATCGCTGCAAACTGTTTTCACATAGAGACCAGCGACAGCCAACCCTAGGCCTGTCCCGCCATCTTGTCGTTTTTCTAAAACAGCTAGTTGATGCTGTGGAAAAAAATTAAAAAAATCTAATATATTTAAGGTAATGGAAATAAGTGTGCAATCTACTTCGAATGAATAATCATTGACGCCATCAGAATCGTAAATGTTTTCTAAAAAGTTTGATTAGAAAACATTAATGGTTTATATTCATATATAATTAAATGTCATCATTAATAAAAACCACAATATGATACTTTTTCGCAAGCCATTGAAGCTATTAATACAAAATTAAGCAAATGAGATAAAAATTTACAGGATTATTTGCTGAAGAGACTAATCCTTTAAGAAAAACCACCTGTAGAAGAAAAGACATGCTATGAAGCATTAGAAGACAATTTAAATGTCTAATAAATTGAGAAACGAAAGGGTTCTCATAGAAACATTAACAGAACAGATCAGCAAGATAGATATTTAAATGTTTAGCTAAATCAAAAGATAAGAGAACGAATCCTATAAAAAGATTTGGCCACTATATTTGAATTGACATATACTTTTCAATATAGGGAATAAATAAAAAACCAAAAATTCTGAGAAGCAATCTCAAGTGATGCTAGAATACGAAGGAAATTTTTGCAATGAAGTGCATTTCTTTTCAAGATAGGTATTTTGAATTTAGTTATATAAACGCCAATGTTACAGGCATGCAGAGAGTTACCTTCTACTCATTTTTTTCTACCATTCGTAATATTTGCCTACCCTATGTGATATTCATCAGTACATGAAAGAGGTGGCTAGCTTCAAAAAATTTCAGGATGTTTTCACATCGATTTTCCTTAATAAGATATGTCTGATGTCCATTAATGTCATATGATTGATTTCTTGCTTGGGCGGACCTATGTAATGTTAATACAGCCAAAAAACCTCTCGATGTGTATGACACAAAGTTAATCAGATTCTTCTATCCGGATCCCCTAGTTTCGCAAAGCCTACCTGGTAGACCTCGATTAACGACCAAAACCATAGTTTTCTGGCAATTCCCAGCAGCAGAAAATGCAAAATTGTATTCAATAAAAAATAATGAAAAGATCCATCTTAAGCTTGACAAGCAAACAGAAGGGGAAAACTAACCTTGGCTCTAGTGAGCGGATCCTCGCCGGTTTGTGTACTCATGTCCGAGACATTGCCTCTTGGTACTGAAACGGTTCTATAATGCGCGTCTTTCGAATCCGAGGTCATGTCGTCTCTGTTTGGCGATGAAGATCTTTCGCCACCTGAGTCTGATTCATCCGGGCCTACAAAATGTTCAATGGATATTTAAAAAACATCCCATGTATTCTCTTGTAGTCATCATGTAAATGTTTTTTATATTTAGGTCACAGTGAATGTCGAATCATGCAAACGAAAAAGGGGATAATAATCAATATAACCATGAACAATAAATAATGGGAAATAAATTCGTCAATATATAGAGCTGTTCGAAGCGAAGGCAGTAGAAACTTCACGAGGGGAAAAGCTAACCAATAATTCCTAAGCATACTCCGTTGCCTCACGATCAAGAAACAGACGCCTCGCTCTCGTCTCTATCGTACACACGCGCGTAGAAAGTTAGTACATTAAGTACCAAAAAATCCGGTGCCAAAGATTTCGGTACATTAATTTTCGGTGGCAAAAAATTCGGTCATATTTTGAAATCTTCAACATAAAATTATCTGGAAGGCAATCATAAAAGCTACAAAAATGGAATATTTTGATGGCAGTCCAAAAAATGAAGCCGAGCCAGTAGAAACATCAATCCAGCCTGTATGGAACTCCATTTTCTTCGATGAAAATGGCGAAAGAGCAGAAAGTGAAGATGAGAACCAGAAACTCAAAATTGATATGCATTGGATGTACAGCAATACTCAAACATTATAAAGAGAAAATGTTTTTGTTATTGTGAAAATCAGTCGTTGTATAACAAGTTTTTCTAGCGGTTTCAAAAAGGTTGCCAAGCTTCATCAAAAATAAATTCCACCGAAATGTTTGGTACTTAAATGTATGTACCAATCATGAAATGATATTTGGAATGCTCTAATTTTAGTAACGACCTTTAACAAACCGCAAAATGGTTGAAATCCCTATGTATTGACTTTTTCTTATTACTTCGCTGAAACAACTAACAGCTAAATTATAATCTCATCTTGTAATCCAAACGTTAATGAATTATTTCCTTTTTGGTCAAGTCTGTGGAAAGCATTTGAATTCACATGATTTTAAAAGACATTTAAGAATTTAGATTTGAAGATTTGTTTCGAGTGGAAGGTTTCTGTTTAAAGAAAAAATTCATGCAGGACAATGGAGGAAATGTGTAAAATGCATTTTGTTGTAAGTCAGAAGCATCAAATCTGACATGTATCAAGGTGTAGTCGCAATATGTAAAGAAGGCGCCAATAGGCCTGGTTTTTATATAGTTGCACTGCATGGCCCCTTGTAAACCCCTTGTAGACTTGTAAACACTGCATGGCTGAATGGGTTACCATGCTTAAATAACTGAAAACGTTCTGTCTCGTGGTCGCAACCTCTCATGCAGCCCAATACGACATATACGTCAGATACAACATGAGCGCGATATACAGCCGATTCAATGTTCTGCAACAGATACAATTAAAATGGTAATACTCGACCATGGCAAGCGACTCATACGTCGGACATAACAAAATGTTTCCCAGAATGCACTTCTTCGTTTCCAACATGGGGAGAGATGCGACAGATGCAAATATATGGAAACTAAACGATACACAAATTTTGTCTTTGCGCAGCAGGCGGCAAGGTTCATACCGACCCTATCGATAGAAATGGAGATTTTTAATGCACAAGTAATGAGATGAGCATTTTCCCGTAACGTGAACGGAGAGTTCTGCATTGTAATTAACTCTATTTACTTTTACAGTAAGAATAAACAGCAACGTTATGGGCGAGCAGCAAATGTGGAGGGGTGTGAACATCTATTCGACTCCGTTATCCATAATAATTAGAATCATAGCTGATGACCAACCAGTTTAGACAAAGCTCTCAACTCAATCTTCACTGACATCATAATCATAATGCAAATCATAATCAAAAACTATTCCTTTATATTTAATCTCAATGCTTTGTGCTAGCTCAAAACCAAAAACAGTTGACCGTGGATAGCAAATTTTGTTAATGTTTCAAGATCTATAAATGCTTACCCAACCAACTCGATTCACTTGTCCACGCACCTCTAAACTCATCTTACAATAACTCTTTATTGAGTTGAGATCGAAAGAAAAATTGGAAGCTAAGAATAAATTTGGAACAAAGATTGCTTAGGTTTCTATAGGTATAATTCAATAATTTTGTTTACTGTTGACTGTGCGGTTTTCCAAAAACTTCCTATTAACGAAACAGTTTGTTATCTCTCTGGTGCCACGCATTGCAAGCGCTTTTCAAATAATTTGAAACAAAAGTTTCGGTCAACTGGAATTCATGAATCTTTATGGTCGCAGTTGAGATTATTCGAATTACATTTAATCCGGGTATAAAAGCCGGATTCCGGAACCGTGGGTCGAGGATCAAAGATCTCCACTCCCCGTTATTGCTTCTTGATTAGGAATTACAATTATGTATACAAAACCATCTCTTCTGCATTTAGAAAGCCCTTTGATAATCTAAGCGATACACGAGCTAGGCCACCTTGAAAGACATGTTGCGACGACCTGTCAAAGAACAACACATTTTCCATACATTGGCATCTTTACCGAGTTGTCTGACTTAGACAACGTAATGCTTGACAGGCAACCTCCGTCAACGTAATGCTCAGTAATGTTTTTCAAGCCCACATCACAGACGCGTCGATCTATCTTCGAAATGTTCAATTAACATTAAAGTAGGCTATAACGACAGCTAGCGAAAATTTGAAGCTCACATGTCATGATCACTACATATGACTTAAGTGCAAAACACTATGCCCGAACCTTGAAGCAAAAAAGAAAGGCCCTGAAGGCTGACATTGGGAGATGTCTCTCCTCGAATATTGGGCGGTGTCTACTATTGGTAGGTATGCGTTATTGAAAGGTTCTTGTTACGGTTATAGAGATTTTTGTTATTGAGAGGTGACCATTATCGAGGGGTGTCGGTTACTAGGATGTGTCCTTTTTTATAATGTCCGTTATTAAGAGGTGTCCGTTGTTCAGAGATGTCCATTTTTTTAAGAGATGCCGTTTATTGGGAGGTCTCATTTTGGAAAATGTCCGTTATTGAGAGATGTTCACTATTGGCAGGTGTCCGTTATTGAGAGATGTCCGTTATTGAGAGATGCCGTTATTGAGAGATGTCCGCTATCTTGAGGTTTCTGTTATTGAGAGGTCTCCTTTAAAAAAGTAGATGTTATAGAGAGGTGTCCGTTACTTAATGGTTTCTGTTATCGAGAGGTGTCTGTTATTGAGAAATGTCCGTTATTGAGAAATGTCGGTAAATTGGGAGGTGTAAAGGCTCATCAAGCAGCTATTTCGTATAATGGAGTGCAGATAAATAGGCCGTCTCTTGGCGACTTTAACTCTAATCATGCATTCAAATCCTGATAGATCAGCAAGGTGTCAATATTTTGATAGAACCCTGACAGAACATGTTCAAAGTTCAAATTCTTAGTTCAAATAAAAAATTAGAATTTCTCTTTCATCGGTTAATATGCTGTAAAAGGCAATTCTAGACCAATCTTTAAATTAATACACCACTAAACGTCTTTATCTACCAAGGTATGCTGAGTTTATGAAAGCAATTGTTGCGTCGTTATTTAAATCAGGAATCGAAGAATATTAAAAAAATTCAAAGCATAGCAACATGGGCTTTCGTCCAGTTCATACAATGATACATTTTGAGCTTTGGGCTATGAAAGCCCGAATGGCAAGGATAGCATAGCACACTCCACTACTGCCCTCGACCAATGACTCATAACGAATTGACTAAACAATTTCAAAGTGACCTCTGAATGAAAGACTACACTCAAACCTTAGGAATACGAATAATGAGCTGAACCTGCCCAAGAATCAAAGTCGCCTTACATCGGAATCAGGAGAGAGGTGGATTACCAAAAATCCGCCCTTTGAAATCTCAAACACACAAGTGTACTATTGTATTTAATATAAACTCTTAAGATTGCACAGAACCACAAAAATGTTGACAATATTAGAATCCGATGATAATTTTTGCAAGGATAACGAATGATGAGGAAATTAAAAAAACCAACACAACTTGATTGGACTTTCTAAGATAGTTGAAACGTCTATTCAGTGACTCGAATACTCTTGGTCTAGAAAAGTGGATGGTTAACCTTGAAGTAATAAAGGCAACAAACGTCTATCCATTGAAAGTATTATCAATCTTTCATTTTCTTTGAATACAATTGAAATATTTACTCTTTTGGTCTACATTATTCCAAAAATTGTGGAAAGCAACTTTTGCAAATTATTTATAAGTTTGGTGGATTGGTACCCAGGGTAATGAACTGGAGGCAACGACATAAATGATCTTTCGCAATAATCTGACAAAAAGACTTAAAAAGTTGATGAACGCTTCGGAACCAATTTTCTTGCGGGAAATGAAGCAAGATCTGCACTAAAGTGGCAGAAAATATATATAACCTTGTGCTCTCTCTCTCTCTCTCTCTCTCTCTCTCTCTCTCTCTCTCTCTCTCTCTCTCTCTCTCTCTCTCTCTCTCTCTCTGTCTCTCTCTGAATATTGTCTGTGAAAAAGGCTATTATGCAAAATATTAAAATGCCATTCATGACATGGCGATTCACTTTCTGTTCAAGTTTGGAAAATAAATTACTTTGCTTCACGTTGCATTGAAATCAGTACAAAAATAAGAGATTTTGATATTGTCTTCTTTTGTAAACCATCAATACTGTATAACTATGAAATGAATATGTTCTTAGGTAGGAATCTTTTTAATTAAATTTTGGGACCACCTTTCTGAAATCATACATAATTTCAAATCGCATTTAAGTAGCATGAGTCATGAACGACGTTTCGAGAAGGTTTTTTTTCTCGTGATTTTAAGCTTTTTAAAGGCTTGGTCGACGTATGCATCCTTTTTATAACAAACTTCATAAGAATAATGCGGTTCAATTTGCTAGAAAAATATGAACATCGTAAGAGTGTGGCCAGCTTCAGATAAATTTTTCAATAAAAAAACATTGTGTTTTTGAAAATATTGTCCGATGTTGACAAAATATATCAGCTTTCACCCGCGTTTCAACCGTTCTACTAACAATATCAGGCAAAAATGATAATTAGTAGTATTAGAAGCAACTGATAGTGTGTAGATGTAGGCAAATAAATGTTGAAGTAAAAAAAAATACTCAAGAACACACGAGCCTCAAATCATCATATAAATAAGAACATGGAGCCACGGCAAATGTTGCCTGGTTCTTGTGAAAAGAGAGAGTGTAATTTCTGTTTGGAAATATCCAAATTTAAGAAACCAGTAGGGGAAACAAATCCGATCACTACAACTAGTCTTTTTTAAACAGTTTCATCTTCAGCAATGAGGCTTGGTACAATCTCATTGCAATCGAATTCAAAACAAAGGCTTTGTTTTCTATTTCTTAAAACTTTCCTAAAATTTTTATTAAAAGAATAAAGAAAGAAAGCAATTTTATAATCATATTTTAGTTTATCAATAAACAAATACGCGATGCGTTGTTTGTCCTGTATCTGATGCACCCAATACTGATTCAACTTCGAAAAGTTTATTTTGATTGAAAGTTTCATCATGAAAAATTGAATCATATGAATTTAGACCGTAGAAAATCGCAAAAAACCCGACTTGTAATGAAAAAGCAGGTTGGTCGAAAGTTTCCATGAGTCTCAAAGGAAACATTTTCAGCAAAACCAATGAATTGATTCCTGGCATTGCAGTTAAACGTGCTACCAGGACTCTGAGCGCTAATAATTTATAGTTGCCATTGGTTTGTGAACAGTCTTACATACTGATGTTGAATTTGGCCTTTTTAAAATTTAATTAAAAAAGTAAAAAAATTGGGGGGGGGGGGAGCCTGAACCCTTGAGTCTGAGAAATATTATAGAGATAAATGCAAATACCTAAGAATATCTAATCTATAAAAAATAATTTCAGAGCAAGAATGTGCAAATTATGTCACTTGATCCAAAATGAGTTTTAGTTTGGCAATACTACTTAAAAAAAAACTTTGCACAAAAATAAAGGCATGTTGAGTTCATTTTGTCAAATAATACGAATTTCTAATCAAAAGCCTTCCCTTATACAAATGAAAGGTACTGAACACAAAACAAGCGTCAACCTATTAAAGGGAAAGATTTGCAGATCCTGGCTGCGGAGAATAACCGCGCTATTAAAAAATAAACATGGTAGTTTATTCGAATATAACCATACGAGCAATGCACCGCCGGTTGGACAGTGTAGAGGTTTCTTGGAAGCTCAAGTATTCCATTTCAAGCAACAATTTGCAACAATCATTTCAACGTGTAGTGTTCCATACTTGTGGAAAGTCAGAAGCACGAACAAAAGTCATTATCAAATTCAGTGGAACTTCAGGAAATACAAGTAACAGCCGTGGTGAGTCAAACAGGACTTTCTTAAGATATACAGATGATTGATCATAGCTTATAACAATCTACATTAGATGTTTAGCATATTTCGCGATCCAAAGAGTAAAAGCCGGATAACAAGCGGAATCAAGGGGAATAAAAACGACGAAGATTTGAAATATAGATACGCAACGAATAGAGAGCAGAAATGAATCCGATATGTTATTTGACTTTGGTAATGTCTGCGGTTTGAAATTGCTAGTCATTGCAAAGTTACTGCAGACAGAAAAATTGGCATAGCAAATGGACATACCTTGTTGCAGTGACATTTCATTGCGAAAGTGAAGAGCTCCATCGCATTCTTCAGTGACCATCTTCCGCTGTGACTCTAAAACCAATAAAATGATTTGAGAAGCAAGAAATCTTCGGGGCCTTTTGAATCGGATTTGGTGCCAAATTATCGACCAGAAATACGCCAATTACACCTCTGACTAGATTATTCTTATTACAGCTTTGGGTTTAACGCGAATTTCGTAACCTCAATAAGGAAGCGAGTAATCCAACATTCATTATTCATAAAATGTTAACAGAAACAATCGAATTCCAAACGCAAACAGTGCAGAAAATCTTCAAATGAAAATCAGTGTGCTTTTCCGCCATTGGCCTCCTAGGGTTGACAGTGAACCAGTGGTTCTATTTTTCAACATTTCATGCAGTCATTGACTGCTAGTTTTCCATAGAACCTTTTTTTGATTAAAAATGCATGATTACGGCGCACAAACATATGCTGTGACTTGTCAGGGAAGGAGAAAATCAATCTGGCTCGTTTTTTACAAGAAAGACGAAATCTCAACCTGCAAATAGAATAAACCCAGAATCACGATCATAACAGCCACCTGCTTTATATTTAGCAGGGCCTCCGACGAAGAGGGGGCCGGGGGGCCTTGCCCCCCCCCCCCACATTTTTGCAAAACAATAGAGTTTTTTTCAAAATCTTTTGTTATGGGTGTTAAATTTTCCCTTTGCCCCCCCCCCCCACTTTTCAACCTTTGTCGGAGCCCATGTTTAGGCCATATCGGTTTGGAGGCTTTATAAAATTTCGGGAATAAAATATTTTAAAATCAATCGGAGAAAAGCTATCAGTGTTCCGTTTGTTTATTACCAGTCCTGTTTATCCAAAATAGCCCTTATAATGATAGTTAAAATATTATTTCATCATAGGAGATTGAAGTTTACCACGTGACACAACTATACCATTGCCCAAACTAGAACATGCGTTTACAGATGTGGTCGAATTCTTGTTTGTTCCCTGTAACTAATTCGGTAGTTTTCGCAGACCATAAAAATGAAAAGACTATCGGGGTTTTAAATGCAAGCAATCAAAAGCAAATGTAGTTACAAATGTTCAGTAAGCTGAAAAAATCACGAGGAAAAATCAAAAGTGCGTTTCCGAATTTTTTTTTGAAAAGAATGCGATCAAAGCGAAAATAAAGCAAAATAAGAACTAATTTCATACATGAAACCACTAAGTATGAAAGCAATGTGACGGACACACTACTGTATGCAATCCTGGCACTAGAAAAAGAAATCCGCCTGAAGACAGGAGACACTAATCCCTAGAAATGCATCAAATCTTCTCCACAACCTAATTTGAGAAAATAGAGCTGATTAAAACTCGTTATTAATAAACCAATAACGGGGTGCCTTGTTTCAATTTATTCTGAAAGTTTTGATTACTTCGTGCTAGAGGCGCAGCCCGGAGTTGAGAGAAAACCCCTAAATATCTACCCCAGAGGTGGAAAAAGTATCGGAACCTGGGAACGTAGTTCCCAGAAATTTTTTGAAGTTTTAAAGAAAATATAAAAATCTGGTGACATAGGTTAAGTCAATTAGCAGAAAATATGATTTCAACTCGCCTGTGAGCAGCAAAATTTGAGCTGCCAAAGGACTGTGGGAATTAGTCTCTTTCCATTGGAAAGAAATTCTTTGTGCACATTATTTATATTCACCATCTCACAGAAATCTCAGCCACTCACGATCAGAATTTTTTTAGCAGCTGAGCTTTTAAGACGAACCATGATTAAGACTGAGGTTGATATAGGGACTGGAATCTACTTTCACAGAAAATATTTCTGACACCATGGTGTGAGCAGCATCGATCATAAGTTAATGTACTTGGTTAAATTAATTTGTTGCATGCTAGGACTCCATTTCAACCACATATTGCTTCTCACTTGTCAAAAGAACGGGTGAGGCCGTCTCCATAAAATGCACCATACAATTCAAATGATTTTGCCCCTGACTCTTCTGAAACTATGTTTGGAGATTATTGCTTGTTTTTTCCTTTTGATTTTGGTTTTCCATCATGATTGATTGAATGAATCAATTTCTAGCTAAAGTTGATATCTTTTTTATGTGCATTTATGCATTAAGTAAAGGCATATCTAATATGTTGAGAATGAGTGTTTTGGAACAATAGTCAAGATATCCGATGTTGAATGACGCTGGAATGATAAGAAGTTGATTGCCTGACAATTTTATGCATTCGATTTAACCTTCTATAAAAATACTTCGAGGGAGAAAAAACAAATTTAGCATTAAAATAAAAACAAATTGAACATTCCAATGAGAAGTATCATACTTCTTAAAATTAAGTTTGCCCTCTTTTATACATCAACTAATAGAGATATAGGCACAAACAGAAAGTTTATTTTGTCTACCCCCTAAATCTTGCAGAAAGTTTTGAGCCAGATTCTTAGGTTCCCAGAAAGAAAAAAAATTTTCCACCTCTGATCTACCCTCTGCCCTGCCACATTCAAAGTATGTAGTTTTATAGTAGATGATTTGGTGTATACAACAGAATCAGGGCGGTATAGACGTTTTGGAGGCCATTGGGCCAAACTGAAAGACGAGGCCCCTACAAAGCGGGCAGAAAATCTTTGCGACCGCGCCCTTTAGATTAGCTCAATTTTTAGCCAATCATTTAAGACGCTTAACTATTTTAAGTTTTAAGACAACCTTTTGTTACATGTGATTAATTCCATTCTTAAAGTGAAATTCATTACTTGATAAGGCCTCGAGGCCCTGGGGCAATTGGTCCCTCCCCCATCCCCACTCTCGGTGGTCTTGAACAGGAAGGTTCTAAGCTGAAACTTGATGCTTCACGCTTCATGCTAACACCAGGCAACTGTTTTTAAAAATTCAAACTTCTTCTTCATTTCCAACCAACGGTCCAAATACATTCTTTCTCGCTTCAATCAAAATGGTTACCAGAAAACTTTATGAAATTGAATGCAGGGAAATGTCATCTTCTTACTTTTGGAACAAATCAAGATGACATTAAGATCAAAATCGGTGAGGCCATTGTTGAAGAAAGCTCTGAAGAAAAACTGCTAGGGGTGATAATAGATAAAAGTCTTAATTTCAAAAGTCACGTCTCAAATTTATGCAAAAGAGCCAGCCAAAAACTGCATGCTCTTGCTAGAGTTTCGCCATTTATAGGTTCTGATAAACTGCGTCTCCTAATGAACAGCTACATAAAAGCTCAGTTTAGCTACTGCCCCCTAATTTGGATGTTCCATGACATTTGTCTGAATGCTAAAGTAAATAAAATCCACGAAAGAGCACTCAGAATTGTTTATAAAGCATGCTGACTACGAAGCATTGCTGACTTTGGATAATGCAGTATCAATTCACCAACGCAATCTACAGTACTTGATGATAGAAATATACAAAACCAAACATAACCTGAACCCTAGTTTCATGAGTGAGATTTTTGAAACAAAAAATGTACATTATGATTTGCGAACTAAAAATAATCTTTGCATTCCAAAAGCCAGGACAACTTCTTATGGTATAGAAACTGTGAGATATTTTGGTCAAAAACTGTGGCAAACACTACCTCACAGTATAAGAGAGTCCCAATCACTGGCAACATTTAAAAAAGAATGAAGAGCACACCCTATAGAATGCGACTGTAGATTGTGTAAAATAATTATTGCTGGATTAGGTTTTATTTAGAACATTATACCATAAACATTTTTAATATTGTAACGTTGCATAAACATTTTAGCGCTATACCATATCAGTCGTTGCATAAACATTTTTAATATTGTATCATATATTTATTTAATACTAATTCTTTATAGATAGTTGGCCTTAATTAGCTTCATTTAGTACGCCAACTTTAAACAAATTATTTATTATTTATTATTATTATTATATATCAACAAGACTTTGTTGCCTGATGACCGCGTTAACACTTTAAACCTCTGCGTATACATTTGGGTGCTATTCTAATGTACAAAAAATCAAAACGACACAAACTATCATTAGAGAGTAAAACTCAAATTTACTGTTTTAGCTGTTCTGTCATACGGCTGTACGGCCAAGACTCTGGTGAATGGTTCAATGTTGATTCACCCAGCAAAGCAGCGGTGCCACAGTAAAATCCCCTTTGTTGTAGTGCAAATATGACCGAACAGGAAAAACATCTGTGACGAAAACTTTACTATTTACATAAGCTATTTAGAGGAAAGTGCAGCAGTGCCTATCACATTTCCTAATAAGGTATATTTTCACAAATCCTGTTTTACTTCCCTAGTTTAATGTTAATTCTGATTTCTGATATTTTCAAAATTAAAAATCAAATAAAAATACTTATTGGTGTATTAGCAAAAAGTCACAAATATGCCGCTTTGGGCCAACTTTTGATAAAAGCTTGATTTTTGTCAAACGTATATATTGGTCAGAAAAATATTCACTTGATGATTAACCAACCGCCCCCCCCCCCCCCCCCCCCTGACTTCTGCGCAACAAATACTTTTTAAGTGTTGGCTACGAGGCCCGTTCCCGTAGCAGTGCTATATTGAGGAGTACACATCTACCAAGCGCCACCGCAAAAAGAAACTTTGAAGTGGGAACACTTAGTATGGAACACTTAGTATGGAGCGCTTGGGAACACTTAGTATGGAAGGAAACACTTGGGGAGTTAAAACAAAAATATATTTGGACCACGAACAAAGAAAAAACTAATTTGTGATACTTTTGGTTACAATGGGCCATTGATTGATTATATTCTTTAACACGCGCGTCAATATTACAATAAAAGGCGTTTTTATTATGTCCCTCTGTTATTGCGACAGAAATTGCTTTATAAATTCATGTATATATTATATACATCCATTTGAAGATGCAAAAATCATCATTTCTGATAGGAGAATCGCTCCGAAAAAGGAATATTGTCACCAAATGCAATTACTTTTTACCGACACGTTTTTGATGAGAAAACTTGGCTACCGTTTCAGCCAGGCGATTCTAATTTTTTTCGCATAATTTCAGCATCATGTGTTTCTTATCTTTTTCTTATTCGAAACTTATATCGATTGTGTTGAACTGGTTTTTTAATCAGAGTTTTCTTTATTTGTTGTCTCAATGCTATTTTACTTATCGCGTTCTGTTATTCTGTTGCTATTCCTTTTTTTCTAAATTTTGCTGGTACCTCTTTTCCTGAGTTTGTTCAATCTCAGCCTGTCTTGTTTCTTACATCGTTCTGTTTTTTTTGGGGTAATTTAATCATTAAATCATATGATTAAATATCGGGGGTGGCGCGAGGAGAGACCTAGAAGGGCTAGCAGGCCTTGAGAATCTGAGATAAGAGATTTCTCCAAATAATGATGAATATCAAATGCAATATCGTGCTTAGCTCCAGACAGAGAAAAATTCCTTATTTCTTCGAAGCAAAGAAGGTTTACTTGAACCAGGATAAAAATGTATTGCAAGGAATTTTAGCAACCCCCTTCCCTACCCTGCTTTTTCGGGGTGGTCTATTAACCTTATAATTTGTGGCGCCACCCCTGTTGAATAGTGCTTTAGCACTAGCAGGGCAATTGGTTCAGGTTCATCATGAAATCTTTCAGTTGAAAAGCTAACGAATTTTATAGGGGAGATTCGATACTCTGTATTGCGAGCCGACAGCCTTTTCACAGGAACATATGACTAACGGAGCTGATCGACAAATAAACATGGCCAAAGCAAACACATACCACGCATAGCATTGTTCCTGGCTCGTCGGCAAACGTAAATAAGGAGTCCAATCGATACGGCTGTACAGGCGGCCAACGTTCCCAGAACAGATGCAATTATAATCGTCCTGCATTCGGTAGAAATCTCTGCTCCATTCACACATGCAGGGAGACTGCAAACCGTGGCAAGTAATAACAATCTCAGGCTATTGACTGCGTTAGTGAAGGTGCATTTCGCAATCATGACAGCAATATCCCCGACTGGTCGTTTGAGTGAGGAGATAACCAACACATATTACAGTCCATAGACGCATTCTATTAAACTAGAAACAGCCTAATTCCTTGATGTGTTGGCATCGTAAAAGCGAACTCTGCTTGTTTATTCCAGCACGCAAGTCAAGATCCCCACTGAAGTTGTATGGTTGTTTTCTCTGTCTGTTGCGCGCATGACAAAAAGGTTTTGCTTTGAACAGTACCCTTTGAAACTTGGAATTCCAACTATGCGATTTTGAATGGGCTGAGAAAACCGTGAGGCATTAGGAATTTAACGGACTAACGGGCCTGTATCACATGCGAATATCGTTTAACACGATTTGATTCAGTTCTTAAATTGCAAAATTGTTTACATTGCCTTTGTGTTAGAGCCTCAATTAATTTCGCATGAACACTAAGCATGAACACGGGAGCCAGCCACGTTTTACACGTTCAACTGGATCCACGTTTTACAATGCAAAGCTAGGTTTTCATTTCTTGTTGTTATATCCGTGGTCAGAAAACAAAATATTTTCCAGTGTTTGCAACACTTTTGAATGTTCACATAGAAATTTTACAACTTCCCATCCCCTTACATCTCATTGTGCTAATGATGACTGAGCCAAAATTCTTCATCTCTTAGTAATTTTTAGGATCCGGATTGCAAATGCCTCATAATTCTTTTTGCAAATACGGGTCCGGAAAGAAAACATAGATGTTCTAAGGAAATACGTTGATTCTAGCAAGAAAGAACGGCCTCTACCTGCCAATTTTAGGAATGATGAAAAGAGAAGATATCGGATGATAGAATGTCTAGAAAATTCATAAAATTTTGGGGATTTCTGTTAAATTCTTTTGAACATTGTAATAAAAATATTTTGTAAAGCACAGATTCAAACGTTAAAATGAGCCATTGCATAACGACAAATACTGTAGACATTAAAGATAGCGATGTAAGTTCAAATATCTAAAACATGCCGTATTCTATCAATTTATTGAGTGTAAGTACCCTTGGGCCCGTGAAAGAAGTAGATGAAAAAAGCATTTGAACAATTAGAGATTTACAACACTCTTTGTTCTTTTCATAAAAATGTTGGTTATAAGAATATTCGGGCTCAGAATGATCTAATCTATAAGACTATTATAAGGATTATTTGCATCCGATCTATCCGATCTGTCAACAGTTGCCTGTTTCGTGATGTTCATTCTGTGTTCATTACATCGAGTCGCATAGATGACTTTGCTCGTTATTTCAAAAAGCGTGATTTCTATTCGAAGGTCGGCAATGTTCCTCTGAAATTGTATCAAATTTGGAAATAGGTAAGGATTCATTAAGAATAGATCCAGGCTCGAATGAAAAATTCTAAAGAATATCGAGTCTTGACAGCATAGTACTCCTTTACAAAAAAATATTGTAAATAGTCCTTATACGACTCTGAAACTAGTATTTGTCTAAAGTCGACTACAAGGCATAGATTTACCTCATATTTCCCCCGTAGTTTTTAAAAGCTTTCATCTAATTTTCCTTAAATTGGAAAAGGTCTATGGTGTGCCATACTTCATACTTACGATGTAAGTGGTGTTTTATAGGGGTATATATATTGATGGTCAGGGTTAAGGATACTTGTGACCATGCTTTGGGTTATCGATTATATGTAGGGGTATATAGTTGTAGGGAGATTAGGGCTTAGGGGGTTTGAGTTGGTGAAACAGTTATCATTGTTTCACCGTTTATTCATAAAGGCACTGCAATGATGATATAAGGCAGGTGCTGCCAAGACGCGACGCGAAAGAAATTTTTGAAATTAAGCCTTCTAGAATGTCTAAAAATACATTTCTAAGACTAAAATTTAATAATTTACTATACCGCTCAGAATAGACAATTCGACGATTCTTAGAAAAAAATTAATTATTGACTTATAGAAAAAATTTGGGAGAGGCGTCATGCTAAAACTCTAGTGACAGACAGATGTTGGAGAAAGAGAGAAAGGGTGACTTTTGTTCAGAGTGCACATCGATGTAAATAACAAGAAGTTGTTACACTTACTGAGAGAATTTTACTTCCCGAACAGAAGTGTGTATTTTCTTTGTCTCGAGTACTTTCAGTAGGTCATGTTTATACATAAAAGTGCAGACATTGCAATGATACAGAAAGTTATGTACTGAATTGATGAAAATAATGAACAAATGATAGAAATATATTTAAATAAGTTAGTAAATATATCAATAAAATAAAGCCGCATTTAAACAGTTTTTGTTCACATTTTTATTTCATACTGTCTTTTCAAAAATAATAAAAAAGACGGTCAATAAAACCCTATTAAATACCAAAGCAGGCAGCTATTAAATACCAAAATACTATTCTCTTTGTAGAATGTTTGTTTATTCTTTAGAAAAATGTAGGGTCACTGTGATGCTGTTGAGTTAAGATGTATGGTAAAAGCCCCCCTGGGTATCAGGGCTTCGCAATTAATCTTCCTCGTTCTTACTTCCCAATTGCCTCCCCGCCGCATCGAGGTCGCACTGATGGTAATGGGGTGGTATGGGGGAAATTATACTCCTTTTTGCTGTCAAGAGCGAGTTGAAATAGCCAATAGGAATATATCTCTAGCTAGAAGCTGATATGCTTTGCACAGCGACCTCGAGAAGGAGGCTCGAAGAACTTAAATCGGAGTTGGCCGAGTCTCCTCCAATGAGAATTTCCATTGCCCTCTCTGAAGGACTGGTACCCAGGGTAGATGAGAACCAACGTGATTTATACAGCTTTCTTGAAGATGACGATGAGCGTATCGTAAAAAAGTCAAAAAAGATGATGGAAATGTTGATGCAATTGATTAAAATGGGTACGTCTGTGATTATGGTGGTGCAAGCCTTTCTTGGGCTAGTCTTTCTTAAACCATTCCGTGATCGACAAAGATCCCTTTAGAAATATCCGAATTACTTATAAGAAACATAGGGATTACCTTCTGCAGATAGTGAAAGAAGGTGATTACCAAAACAATTTGAAATATTTTTATTCAAATATTTAGAAAAGCAATGGTGATATGCATTGAGACAATCTTTTGAAACTGTTAAAATCGATTAATTGGCTTAAAAAATCTTTTCTGTCTGATCTTGCAACATTTTCTGTCCGATCAAAGGACAACAAAAATAAACCAAAGTCTCCATTCATTGTAGAAATTGCTTAAGCTACTGTATGAATCACCGTTACATATCTAAATGTAATCGATGTTCCGAACAATCTCCCGCAAATCTTCTAAGTAGGAAAACTTTCATGGTATTGACGCCTATGGCTCCAGTAGCCAGATTTTGAGGGCAGGGGGGTGATTTTCCTTTTAAGAAAGCTGCTATTTCTGTCTTAAGAAGCGCTCTTTTGCTCAGTGTAAAACCTGCTAGAAAGTCATTTGTAGATCGTTCTCCACGAAATTTGGACGATCCCTTCTACGGAAGTGGTTATACTCATGTCTTATTCAGGGCTGGAGGATTTTGGAATTTTTTAACATAACATTTTGTAAGCCATCATATCTCCCAAAATATTTACGTTACCCAATGCCAAATTATCTATGCAGAATTGGAGCACAGGCCAAAAGTTCAATGCAGAAGATTTTTGATCGTACAATATTTTCCCCATTATGGTCTCATTTTCTGTTTTTTTTAAATCAAAGATCATTTGCAATTTTCAAATCTGAAAACTGAAACTTGCTGAGAAGAAAAAGAAAGCTTGGAAACTACAAACACTAACACCCAAGAACATAAAGTTGTTAAAAAGTCAGCAAAAGACAATCACGATTTGTAAGTTGGTTTTAAGGTTGGTTGAAAATATTTTCAAAGCGAAAATATTCCTCCAAATTTTCGGAAGAAATAATCAAGAAGATAGGAAAACCTTGACCCTGTCCAAAAAAAGATACACGAAAAAACAAGCTTAACGTTGTCAACACCAGGTAAAACTCAATATAAAGGTAATGAAAGGCTTTTTTCCAACAAAGTTTTTTCCATACTGATGATGTGATTACGTGACCAAATCTGCATATCAAAGCTACATAAAGGGCCATCTATTTTTATAAAGAAAATGTCCTTTATAAAAATGTTAAAGAAAAGAGGCCCGAGAATTGGCCTATGAGGTACTCTCTGTTGATATTTGAGGTATTTTCATTCCTTGGATCATTGGGAATCGATGTTAAACTACTTTTTCTTAAAATGTGGATCGTTTTTATTACAAAATTTTAAGCATGACTTTTTTAAGAAGATGGGGAATCTCCCCTCAAGTATCCACCAGTTTAAAGTATCAGCCAAAGGTTTTGTTATACAATCATTATAATTCTTTATAACTATGTATGCATTTTTTATATCTATCGTACATACATCATTATCAGACATTTGGAATACACTGTTGTCTAGAGTAATATTAAGCAACATTGATGTTTTTTATTGATCCATCTGTGCTGACTTGCCAACAGTTAGAGTAAGTGTTTTCATGGTCTCAGCAATATTAATATGAATCAGTGACAAAGGGATCGTTTTCTGAAAGACGTGAAATATGGCAACCCTAAAAGAAACAGGGTTCGAAATATTGCTAAGACTGTGCTCAAGACTAGGCTACTTCTTTCGGGATATTTTATTGTCTAAAGTACCATTTTGGCAATTTTTTTATGTAAAAGTATGACACTTTGCCTCAGTGACTTTTTCGCTGTATTTACTATACGGTCAAATGTGGTAATCATGCAATTATAGAACGACCAGCAAGCCTGAACGGACACATGTTGATAGCAATTTTTATTAACTGAAATGTACACATCCTTTCAAAACATTCATGATATATACATACATAGATACATACATACATAGATACATACATACATTTATACATACGTACAGGGCCGTAAATCTGGCATGTCAATTGGGGGGGGGGGGGTCAGCAGAGCTAATGAATATAAAGTGTGCAGTGGGTCATGGCACCACCAAGCAATTTACGGTATGTGTTATGGAAACAGCTTGAGCGGCAAACGACATAAAAAACAAAAAGAAAGATTATTAGATTTAGTGAGGTTTATCAGCTCTATAGAAGATATTTACAGATATTTCTTAGCACGTTGACTTTTTTATAATAGAGTTGATAACATTTTTCAGAGACAGCTTGAGGAAATTGAACCTGAGGGGGTTGAAAATCGCGCTTAGTGATGTAGGAGGACCCACCATGGTTGGGGCCGAC